GCATTTATTGCAAAATATGCTAGAGTAACAGTTCTGTGATTATGGGACTCAAATGAAATAAGAGATTGCTTTGTTTTCCAGAAAATGTTTTTGTAAGTATTCTCTAAAACAGAGAAGGAATTAAGTCATAGGGAGAACTGAAACAGTGTGTGGTTAATAGTGGATTACCCTCCGACCCTGAAGCAATTGAAGTTTGGGGGGTAGAAGACATGGGGCAGCGCAAAGGCATAGACTTTGGATCTCCTGACTGACACATTTGTATTTGTAACTCTATAATGGGGACCCGCTGCTCCCCACCAGCGACCAGACTTCCCTACCCTCTGGACTTTTCATTGAATCCCTCCCTACTCCCTAGAACAGTGCTGTGCAATCAGACTTTCTGTGATGATGAAATTGTTCTATACCTGCGCTTTTGTTCTGTCTCATATGGTAGCCACCAGCCACAGGTGGCTCTTAAGCAACCAGAAATATGGAGAGTGTAAACTGAACTCAATTTTAACTTTATTTAATTTCAATTCATTTAAATAACCACCAGAGGTTTCTGTATTATAGAGCACAATGAGTCCAGCATCTTTTACAATAAGGACCCATGTGCCCATGTTTTTACCTGATAAACTTAACAGCTAAAAGGGGAGAAAGTACTGAACAGAAATACTAACGGTACAGCAAGGGGCACCTCTTAGTCGAGGTCTTTGAGGAAGCACAACAGACTCTGAAGTATGGACTGCTTCCTACCCATCACCCCCTAGCCAAGAGGGTGGTGTTCCCTCCTCTCCTGAGTCTCTCCCTGACACCTGATTGCTCTAACCTGTCTCCTCACTGACAAAATCCACCCTGGAATTGGGGTGAGGTGGGGAACCCTGAGTTCCAATACTGTCTTGGAGTTGATAAATTTTACTCAGGTTCCAGAGAAAATAATACATGACTGTCAGTCACTGTAAGCTGTATGTAACCAAGCAGGCAAGCTTTCAGGAAGAGTGCATTTTAACCAGTATTATACTGCATGAATACAAATATATTCGCCAAGAGGGTAAATGGCTTTGTTGACATGGAGAAAATAGATTTTAATGGAGATACCCTGCAGAACAGATTTATAGATTCCTATTGATCTGCAACCTATGTATCAAAATGGGTCTGCTGTTAATCCTGACTCTTGGTATTAGGCCACTGTTAGGCCAGGAGCAGAAACCATCTCATCTTAAAAGTCATCTTATACATTGTACCTGCAGGCTTGTATTTGCCTCAGGCCTGGAGAAACCACCTGGAATGTAGAAACCATCTTATCCTAAAAGCTATTTCTTCTTTCTTTGTACCTTGTATCCACTGACTAGTGTTTGTCTCTTAGAGGCTTGTGATCAGCTGGCCTGGAGGTGGGGATTGGGGGGCGGGGAGATGGAGCCAGGATGTGGAACAGGAGGGGCATGGTCATGCCCCCAAAACCCTTTGTTGCGAGAGACAATTCAACCAAAAGCCCCTGAAACACTGAAGGGGACCAGCCTCTGTTTACCTCCTCCTATAAACTCAATACCGCGTTTTGCTCAGGGAGGTTATGGCCTTTTTTAGCCTGACCTCCCGCTGCTCAAGCACACCAAATAAATTCTAATAGACAAACTCTGGTCTCCCGTGCCTTGTTCCTCCGGCTTTCCAGCTAACACTCGGCCTCTTCACACTTCTTTGTACCCACCACTTCTTTGCTCCTTCAACTACTTCAATTTTTACAAAACAAATCATTCCTTTTTTCCTCCTCACCTTAATTTGAGATCTCTCCAGATAATCCTCCCAGCTCCCATCTGTTGATGGCCTGGGGCTTTAGATACTTTCTGTCACTCAGCTCCACAGCTCCATGAGGCCAGAGAAAGTGCACCAGGCTTGTCCAAGGTCAGCGCAGTGGAGCTGGGATTGAAAGCCAGGTCCACCTGTGGATTCCAGTCTCTGCACTCTCTGTCACCATGCTAGACCCTGTCCTACCAGAGAGACCAGCTACCTTTCTAAACTAAGTGTTCATGTCTTCAAACTTCTAGAGCATCTACTGTCACCGTCTTTATTCACTGCAGTATCTAAGAAACTTTACCCATACTACCTATCAACGATCTATTTAATAATCCTGTCTGAGTAACCCACGTCAGCCTAGAACACACTGGAAAGGGGATAGGGTGGAAAAATAAAGGGAAGGGAGCAGACAGAAAAAGGAACCAGACCAAAAGAATGGAAGGGAGGTGCCCTGGCCTAGTGGTCGCGCATCCTGGATCCCTGCCTTGGCTTCCCCTCCCCCACCACTGGTTCCAAAACGGAAATGGCTCCGGGACCCAGGGCAAGGCCGTTCCCTGAACTATTGTGTGACTGACTCTACAACTTGCCTCTGGGGCAAGGCTTCTTCTGTGCGGCCAAGAATAAAAAGCTCTGAAATAAAGACATTATGCATGGACTGCTAGCACTTCAACCTTTAAAAAGAAACTAAAAATTGAAATCAGGCTCGGGAGTTTCTCAATCTTAGTAATATAATTAAGTGACTAGAAAGAACATTCTAAAGAACACGTTTAGCAAGTTGATTATTTTGTAGAGAAAAGTTGCTGTGGTTTCAACCCAAATCCACACACAGTTGCAGGTTTCCTGGAGGCAGGAGAGCGATCTTGGGCTGCATAACAGCAGAGGCTTTGTCTCCAACTCAAGTCTGGGAACCCCAGGGGCCGGCCGGTCATGCTTCCATTATTATGACTGCGTGAAACCACTTCTTTAACTTTTTATTTAGAAGTGGGAAAACACAAACCNCCCCGATCACCCACAATAGGAAAGGATTTACTCATAATGATAAAAGATTCAAGTTAAAATACTGCTGTCTGCTATGCAAATAGGTGCCCCTGTGAGGGTCCACTTATATGTGGATTTTTTTCAATAAATATCTGCACTGTTTTTGCTCACCAGTTGGGAGTCCATGGATGCGGAGGGCTGACTATATGCATTGATCTATGTCATTTTATACAAGGGACTTAAGCATCCATGGATTTTGGTATCTGTGGGAGTCTGGGAACCAATCCCCTGTGGATACTGAGGGACAACTTAAGTTTTGGGGGCATCAAAAGTTACATGTGGGGGCCGGCCGAGTGGCACATTGGTTAAGAGCTGGCTTGGGACGCCAGCTCTGAGCAGCAGGTCCCCGGTTTGGATCCCACATGAGGGCCAGTGAAACTGCCCTCTACAGCTAAGATGGTGAACAACAGCTCAACCTGGAGCTGGGCTGCCGTGAGTCGCCAGCGACAGCATAGACTACAGCCCCTGCTGCAGTGGGCTGCCATAAGCTACAATGTGTGGCCAGCAGCCAGTGTGAGCTGCCAAGAGCTGCCGTGAGCGGCCGTCCAGAGGCCGGCAACTGATCTGCCTCAGCCAGGAAGAGCGCAATGATAATACTAACATAGGCCAGTGAAGCAATGTCCTCCACAACTATACTGAAGGGCAAAAGGACAGCAACTTGTCTGTTCCCCTTCCCCTGATTCCCCAGCACTGTTCCCCTCCCCCAATTCCCCAATTTAAAAAAAAAAAGAAAAAAAAGTTACATGTGGATTTCTGATTGTGCACAGGGTTAGCCCCCCTAGCCCCTGAGTTGTTCAAGTGTCAACTGTATATTTGTAACAGTACAAAGCCTGCTAACATTTAATAGTACAGGGTTAGGAAGAAAACGCAGGCAAATTCTTACAGGAGGCTGTGCCTAACTGAGGCTCATCCTCAAATACTCTTGCTCTGTTATTTCAGCAGTGGGGACAAGTTTCAGTAAGTAGTTGTCACTGAAATATCTCATCACCTTGACATGTAGATTAAAACTACTACCTGCGCTTTAGATTGTCTCTGTCTGCATTGGTGCCCCGCCTCTCGGGCAGTCTTAAGTGCCAGAAGAACCTCTCGTTATTGAAGATTAAGGCAATTCCTCTCTTCTTGTGGTCCATTTTGTACTTTTCTTCCGGATCCAACATTTCACTGTTAATGAAAAAGTTTAAAAAAAAAAACCCATCATCTTAAGTCATATTAAATAATGAGCTCCTCCAGACTTCTGACTCCTCTACATATTGACCTCGGGCTTGCGGCTGCCTCCTCTGCCAGGCTAACATGCCACTGGTGTGCACTGGGAAAGCCTCGTGGCCATACTAGTAAGCGAAGTCCTGAATATTTCTGTACCAATTGGTAAACAGCGCCCATCGTGAATACCCACCTCCAATCCGTCTGCATGGGCGTCTTTCCCCCAGGTCTCCAAGATCCAGCAACCAAGGACAATGCTCTGGCCCGGGCCAAGCTCTGGCTCTAAGGCCCATGCCATATCAGCTCTTAAATATTTTGAACATCATTCTAGGTCCTTTCACAACCAGAGGCAGAAACTAACCTGCATATTAACAAATGTTAAAACCTGACATACTAGGTTCTACTTTCTAGCTCCCAGGTCCCTTTCTTGCTTTGATTTTTATAGTCTAATTATGACTACCAAAGGAACAGACCTTTATTAGAAAAGAGCACATTTTTACCTTCTATAGAAGGCATCTGTTTCTGTCATGTTTTGTTCCTCACCTGTAAAAAAAAAAGTTGATTTTTGTTAATTTCCTTTTTGACTTATGGTAGTGGAAC